GTCATTCATACAGTTCTTCTCGTTTCAGATCTTGGGCAGCTACTCCTGGGACAGCAGGGGACCCAGATCTTGGGATCTGATTGTGGAGGTCATTGCTAGTAGGTTGGATGCAAGTTGACGCGACCTGCCAAGCGGCAACTGATCTTCCCGTGCTTTTCCATCAAAGTCACTATCGGTTCCATTCACCCCTCATCTACATTGCATGGCGCCTTCTTTTGTCCTTTTTCTTTGGACCAATGATTCACTAATGACTCATGAAGGCCGTACATGTACATGGTCCAAATGTGAGACTGACATCGATTGACTTAGTTCTTGACACAGCCACCGACACCGTACCGACACGGTTCCAGGTGACTCCTGGAGTCACTGTAGCTGGAGCCTGAGCGGAAGTCGGGTGATCGTGCGAACAAGTGATCAGAGATCAGAAAATAAGCGGAGAAACAGTCCAGACAGTCTAGATACAGGATGTCTAGATGACAGTCCTTTCTGAGATACCATGACCATGACAAACAGGTCAAAGTCAAGGACTTCACACTTCTTCATGTTTTGTGAGGTGTTTGGGTGCAATTGGAGACTAGACTAGACCCCCTTGGCAAACATCAGCTTTTTGAAGTTGAGCCAAGGTGAAGTATGTGGAGGGGGATCGCAGACACGTGAAGTATGGTGCTCGTGGACCAACTACGAGACGGAGTTGACTTTCGGCGCAGATGTGTGTGGCAGATGTGTGGCAGGGAAGAGGCTAACTTGAGCGAGGAACAAGATATCTCGTCCTTTGGATGGAGAGTGAAGACAACTAACCGCTGACTATACGACTCATGCCACATAGAGCACATGGTAATAGATAAAGACACTCAATGTAATATAATGTAACTGGCAGCCTGGCAGACACATGTTGACAAGGCTGAATCGTTCAGCAAAGAGCCTCATCAACAAGCATGCACACCAGAGCCTGTCCCACACACCGCAAGATCATGCACAAAGCAGCGGAGGCATGCGGAGGCGACGGAGGTGGCCTGCATGTCTTGCGATTGGAAGATTGTTGATCCATCTTATGATGATTGATTCATTTAGAGGAACTTGTTACTGTATCAAGATTCTTTTGGCCAACTCCAGAAGGGGTCAAAACCTTTCCCATGGCAGCCACTCAATGTAGAGCTTGCTTATGGTTGCTTTACAAAAACGTCTCAGGACAGCGGTCGCAGATTTGCACTGCGATGCCGCCTCGCGCCCGGAAGATCAGCCCCTTGGCCATCCAAACATCCACATTTCTAACAGGCATCGGCAGACAATTCAAAAAAAAAGAACCTCAACACGAAGGTCGGGGTGAGAAAGCTGTGAGGCCGTTCCAATCAAATTGCATCACATGTGGTACGTCTAATGTTTGCCAGTTTTGTCTCGCAGATTTAAGATGACTAAGATTCAATCACGTATATAGTATATTATGTGCTTGGTTTCATTGTTGTTTTGTTTGTTTGTCGGTGGGTCGGTCGGTCGGTCGGTCGGTTGGTTGGTTGTCCATGATGCTCAGTACATCAGTCATGTCCCAGGCGCTCTTGTGCTAGCCGACCATGCAAGAGCCCTTCGGCGACGGAGTTGGATCCGACGAGCGAGTTGGGTCGAAATCACCACTTAGTGATTGGCTGTTCAATCATCCGTCTATGAACTCAATCAGATAATTTTAGAGAACGAAGATGGACTTTGACATATATGTATATATATATATATATTGAACATCTTTGAACACAATCGGTTTGGACTTTGTTGACCAGGGTGCGAAAATCAACGGCTGTTGACAGTTCTTTTCCCCTGGCCAACATTGAAGAGACTGGAGTCATCTTGAGTTAGCAGAGGCTGCGATGCTTTCGAAGCTGGTCCTCAGTATGTGGTATCTGGTGGTGACCAAGAGATGTCACGGCACGACGCTTGGGTGTGCACTTATGATCTTAATCTTATTTGCTCTGGAAATTTTTGCAGATTGCAGACATGTTTGTTTTGACTGTGGCAAGTCCTGGCTTCTGGATGGATGAATCTCCATGACTTGTATTAGACGAAACACGGCCGACCGAGACTTGTGTGGTAATTCACAGTAGCTTGACAAGTTAAACATGTTAAACCAAATGAGACTTGGGTGTCTGAGACAAACCGTTCGTTGAGGGTTCTCCCTCCTCCCCAAACGACCAAAACCCCACGGTTGCTGGCGATCTTGTTGCAGCCCGGTGACGCCAAACACCAACTCAACCGTTCGCTCGGCTGGTCCCCACCAACTCAACCGACCTGGAGCACCAGGAAGACACGGTGTACGTGACCTGTGCCGCGGGCTACGGTACCGTGGACGACATTCGCCTCGTGGAGTCGGAGTGCCAGGCATGGACGGATCACCGGGTTGGTGAGACGGGAAGAAGAAGACGGGCCACACAGACATACAATGTCACAGTCATACTAGTGGTCATAGGTCATGTCATATACTGACAACAATGATTCCAAACGAAGCAAACATGGTCTTTTGCAGACGCAAACATGTGCGGAGAGCGAGGGATGTTTGGGACATCACTTGGTGACACGGAGATTTTTGACCAGAAAAAGAGGGATGCAAATGACATCCCCTCATTATGGGAGTCACTAGTGGAGTCACTAAAATCCAATATACAAAGCACAGCTGGATTTGCATGTGAATCATTACTTGGGAGAGGTTTCATCCTCGTGATTTTCATTGCACCTGGCAGCTGACAGAGCACCTGGCAACAGCATGAGGTCATGGAATCATCACTTGACTTGTTGGAGGATCTAGGTATCCTCGCGCGGACCCCCTCCGCGAGGATGGAGAGTGGACTCCATTGGCCGTCTCCTGCGGACGAAGCTGTCCTGAGTTTGTTGCGGCTTCGTGGAAGCAACTGGGCTGCCGACGGGTGTAGGATCTAAAAAACCATGCATTTCTCAGACAAGTTGGGTTTGGTACCTTGAGAAATTGGTGGGCTTTCATGTGTATAGTTCACAAATGGTTTTCTTGACAATGGTCTTGACATGACTTGACCCTCATTTGCGCAGCACTTTAGGTATGAAGTCCATGGTGCTGACCCTAGTGAAGCGACCGGTTGGTCTGAGAATCACGCAACAAAAGCACTTGGCGACAGAGACCAGGTTGCGTGTTGATTTTGCCTTTCTCTTTGTCTAATTAGTTGTTCTTGTTCTTACACATCTTTCTACCACTTATAGAAGACGAAGAACAGCATTTTTCTAGAAAAAACAATGCTGCGTGGATAGTACTGGCTTGAGGTCACTAGGTTTTGCTTCGTTCCTTGCGAGGCTCTGGTGATCAGCATGGCTCCACGCGACAAGTGACATGTAAACGCAGTGTGCATCTCAGAAGCGTCGCGCCAGCTGGGTCATAGGCACCAGGATACCGAACCGATTGACGTCACCGGTGTCGGTCGCGGTCGTTCGCGACGACCAAAGCTCCGGGCTCCGGGCTCCGAACGACCGATTCCCCACTGACTGGTGCGACTCGTAGGGAATAAGGGAATGAGCCCCCAATAGAGACTCTATTGGATCCAGCCACCCTCATTCCCTGCGAGACGCACCTGTCAGCCCATCTGCCACATGTTTTTGCACCAAAACGCCGGTCAGACTAGACGGTCAGATCGACTGGGAGACGAGGTGAGACGAGCCCCAATTCCGTCGAAGCTCCGGTGTCGGCCTCTGTCATTTGCCAGGACCGCCGCCGTGAATACCGTGGGGGTCGATCCCGAACCGAAGCGAAAACAGGAAGCAACCAGGAGGTGACAGTCTTGCAGTTTCTCAAGACTTCAACTCGTTTTGGAGGTATTAAATTTGGGTCTGTCCGAACTTACCTGTAACAGTCAGTAAACAGTTATCACTATGTTTAAGCAGGGCATATACTATATATACGCACAGCGTTCGACAGAGTCAGAACCCACCCAGATCACAAGCTCAGCGCTAGGGAAAAGCAAACAATTTGGGGAATACCTACACAGAACCACAGACATAGACACAAAAGGACTTCAAGGCCCATCTCAACATCCAGGGTCATCAGGTCATCTTCCGAGTTTGGAGGCCCAACCAAGCACTCTGGCACCACCTCCCCCCTTTGTTTGGGCCCTTCGGGTCGTCCCGAGAGGATGGAGCCTGGACCAGCCCATCCTTGGTTTGCACCGGCGATTGCCTCACTCCAGAGCTGAGCAGCGCCTATGTTCCTCGGTCCGGGTTGGCGCAGGAAGCGGTAAGCAGCTGGGTTCTTTTCCAGTGAACTTCCAAGGAATTGGTTTTCTCCGACATGTCCCTTGTATGTCCTTGTTAAAATTAGGGCGTCCTTTCTTCAACCATCGCCAGTCGAAGAGCTCCATTTTGCCCGCAACCTTCCTGAGGCGGTGACTCAGTTTAATGGCACCAGTGGTGATAACATCGTGCAGCGTGGCTCCGTGTGGCATATCAGCTGCGCACCAGGCACGACCGGCGCGCCGGTCGCGGTCACCGGTCGGGGGACGAGTGCCGTGCGTTCTCCCGCTGCGGGTATCGAAGCGATGAAAGGCCGACGCTTTAATGGCACATAGAAGCATAGAAGAGGAACAAAGTGAGGTGGAACGCCGAGTTTTCGAGTTTCCACACCCCTCCCACACCGTATGTTCTAGGCTTTGCGGCTCCTGGAGATCAAGCATCGGTGAAACTGGAGTGCGTTTGGAGCCCAGACGCGCGCTCCGGGTCATAGACCTTGGTCGCTCCGGTTGAGTCGCATGGGTCGCTTCGCCCAGACGGCGGCACAACACCGAGCGCCGTAGAGTTGGGACCTCTTCCGCAGAGTTAGGATTCAACAGCCTTTGGCATTTCACAAAGAGAGATTGACAGTAACAGTATGCAAGAACTCAAGGACCCAATGGTCAAGGTTCAAGAAGAGACCTAGAGGTGCTGCATGAGTCATGATGATTCCGATATGATTCCAGACGTAGAGTCCAGACAAGTCCAGACCATCCAAAGACTTGTTTGCCATGCCCTCGCACCCATTTCTGTTGACCGATGAAGGCACCGTGGACCCTTGGTGGCTTCACAACTGGCCAGTTGGTGGGGTTGCTTTGGTCCTCGGAGGCTCCGTGGACATTCGCAAGGTGCGCAAAGAGGTGAAGAAGCCGCTTCGAAGTCAAGATGTGTCGATTCACATCTTACATGCAACTCTTTGGGGTGAGAAGTTCAGAAAGTTCAAACCCAAAGGACGTTTTCTGCTTCTAGCTACAGAGACTTTGTTCCGCAAGAAGTATTCTTCCCTGCGCAATATGCTGTGGGTGGTGTTCGACATGTGCGAGAAACATGAACGCCAAACACCTCAAATCCATACCACCGAAATGGATTTTTTGCGGCAGTTCGGTCACTGTGAAGTCCAAGTGACAGTCGATATTACAAGAGGAGAACAGAAGCGCCGCAAGGATCTGCTGTTTGATGAAAACAGCGGGCGGTGCCGCTACCGGCCGAAGAGAGAAGTGAATGATGACTCCATGGCCGACACAAACCTTCTAGACTGTGAGATTTGGAGAATTTGTGGACGCGAAGACTTTGTGGGGTTTCCATTGCCAGGAGTTCATCCCGATGATGCCTTTTGGGATTACCTCTTTGGATGGAGCACAGATCGAGGAACCTTTCAAACTCATTCCGAGGACCGGTTGGGTTTCAACAGCCTTCCCATCAATTTCCTCTTGCGGGAAGCTACGAGTGGGAATCAGCCACAGAAACGCCTGGCAGCCATTCTGATGGTTGCAGCAGTGCAATTGGTCTCATCTCGCGGTTTTGCGCCCGTTTTCCAGCACGGCCGCACACTGGCATTTGACAGTCACACCGTTTGGGATATGACAGAGACAGCTGTCTTTCTGGATTGCTTTCTGACCGGAGGTGGAAGATGGTCGAAAGAGGCCACGTTGACATCCTTAGCATGGCAGTATGTGTTCCAGCGCCGTCAATGTGTTTGGGAGCTTCGGAATTTGGACGGGAGGACTGTCCAGGATTATCTTGACGGGGAAGTTGAGTTGCGATGGAAGCTTCAATCACTGCTGGAAGAACTCTTGCGGATCATGGACGATTTCCACCTTCGCTTGCGAGATGAACTCAAAGCTTGGTGTGAAAAGTGGAATTTGCCGCACCTGAGCGACGACCCATCAATCCTCGACGCTCCACATGGCCCCAGTGGTGAGGTTTTGGAGAAGGTCATGCAACAAGCAGCCACGAAGGCGCACAGGGTCCACACACCCGATGATGTTCCGCCATTCAACTTTGTGGTCCCTATGTGTGAGATCAGAAGACCACGTTGGCTGCGCTTGGCCGAAGAACCAAATGGCCATTTTGAAGTCCGCTTTGACGGGGACTCTTCAGCATTTGAGCGGGTCCACCGTCGTCACTTCCCAGGCAAGGGTGGAGTTCAAGGCAGAATCTTCAACCCAGACTCCCAGAAAGGAAAGAGATTACTGGCATCGGTGATGTTTCTCAACCTTTTGCTTGACCACGACCAGGACCTAGATGAGGAGGAGTGGTGGCAGTGGCAACTTCATAGATGGCACGTGCGAGAAGATCCGCAAGTGATGTACAAGTTTCAGCAATGCGCTCATGGCTCCTCGGGCCAGTGTACCATCCGTTTTCCGACGACGCCCATGGGGTTCTTTGCGCCAGGGGCCTCTTCACGTTTTGGAAAGCAGAAGATTTATGTTCTGAAACGATTTGCCACACCGGACCTCCTTGTACTTTCATCCTACATCCTGGCTGAAAGTGAATGAAGCGATGGGAACCACCTCATGCACTTCTGAGAATTGATTGAACAATTTGACGACAGTGATTTAGCGCTGCCTTGGCCATCCTTTTCAGGATCCAGCAATTTCTTTTAAACTTGGCATTGACGCGCTTAATTGGCTGTACTCTTGGCGAATTAAGCAAGGCCTCAATGACCAGTTACAGCACAGCAGTTCCGGCATAACAGCGGGATGCAGCCGGCAGGACCCGACCAGCCGGCAGTTGGAGACTGTTGATATTTCATTGTGCCGCAGCAACACTGATTGACCTTTCTTCTCTTCAGTTATATAGACTCCACATGTCCAAGTCGCTGAAATGGCACTGATCATTTCACATTCTTTCTCCGTGTGGCACAATGAAAGAACCAGAGGTTTCAAGGTTAGTTTCAAAAAGCCCGCGCGGCGGCTCTGAACATGCATGCACATCTTCGACACACATATACTCTCAGTCAATGCACTGACTCAACAACTGGGCAACTGACGTTTGCCTTACTCTAGAGAATGTCTGGTGTTTCCTTTCCTCCGATGGCCAAGGAAAGGGGAAGTTGGAGTGGCCTTGAAAACATCCCCGATGCTTGGCTCTTGATGGCTCTTCCCCGACTGACAAGCTCTCGCGGACCCGGTCCGAAAATCGTCGGTCGGTCCGGTCCGGTCGCCGGTCTCACCAGACCGGAGCCGGAAGCCGGAAGCCGTTCGGTTGGAAGTTGGGGACCAGAAACAGCTGATAGCTGTACCGCCACCGTGTCTACGTGCCGTTTTTCAGGTGACCCCCCCAACACGGTTCAGACACGGCACGGACTGCCCAGTCACAGCGATTCCGAGGACTGCAAGGCGGACTGCCCACGCTACAAGCTGTCTGAGGGCTATGAAATTGTGGGCCATGGCCTTAGGTCCAGACGGATGGATCGAAGGAATGGGGATGGATGGACTACCATTGTTTTGAGAGACCCTGGATGAGTCTTGAATGGATTGAGATGAGATGGATGAGTCTTGAATGGCCTTGCAAAGCCAGGAGCCCGGGGGGTCTTGACTACGATTGTGACCAGGTCAGACCTGCCACGAAAACCGAACACGGGAAGGAGGCTTTAGACAACAGGGCGTTGTTCACATTGCCCGGGGATGAATATTGCGAAATGTTCAGGAACTTCCACAAACCGATATGGGTGATTGTCTGATTGTCTATTGACATCTATTGACACTGGATATCCTCAAGGCATCTCAAAACCCCTTTTGCGTACCACTTGTCTTGCTCGGCCCTTTGGTTGGACCTTCAACATCATACTATATATATATTTATTAATAATACCAGTACCCTTTCAAACAGGTCAGGTCTCCTCTGGTGGCTTTTGCAGACTGAAAAGTGGCAGGTGGTTTTCTCTACTCCGTTCTCAGACTACATGTTTTATCTGAAACACATCTTCTCAGACTACATTTGTGTTTTTGTGTTTTTTTTTCTCTTTCTCTCTCTCTCGACCGAAGCTCGGCCGTAGCTCCGTCGACCGATGTGTCGACACCCGAGCCGAGGTGATGAAGACGCACAGAACGTGGTGAGCTTCACCCAGTCCAAGGACCGGTCGGACCGCGCAGCGCGAAGCGACCGTGCCGGCGAAGCGGCGCGAGAGGGCGGTGGCTTCCCGGAGCCACAGGTGAGGAAGACACTGATTTGAAGTCAGTTGAGTTGACTACGTGGATGGCACCACCTGGGCCTGGGTCTTCGGATTAGAAACTGGTCATCCGAGTCTGGGGGGGGCAATGCCATTCGGGCCATCCATGTACTCCATGTCTCCTTGAACCAATGGGCTAACTAGATGGGAGCCACACCCTTTTGAGCCACAACCTTTGTTCACTGATGTTCACTTGCTGAAGCCACCTCTTCCACAGTGCGAAAGCATTCCATTTGCTTGGGCCATGTTGGGCCATTCTGCATCAGCACTTCTGGGTCGCAGGTGGATGGCATTGCGGAACTTCAGCTGCAGAAAGTGGCCCTGAAAGCCGTGGCAGCCGTGGAAGCTTTAGTCCACTCTGATTTTGGACTCCAAGTCAGCGTAACCACACACGCCAGTAGTAGAGCCACTCCCGATTTTCAGCAACATTGGGGACCAAACATATACCAACATGGCTCTGCACTCTGTTGCTCTGTTCCTGTAACGTGACACACTTCGTTCGTGTTCTGGGCGAACATTTCGATGTTGGGTGTCACCGCTCGCCGGGGACTGGGCCGCCAGCCTCGAAGCCCAGGGTGGCATCGGGGAAAACGGCTGATTTTGAAGTTCTCAGGATCGCAGTCTTCTCAACATCACAGGTGTGAACCATGGTATCTGGCCTTAGCGTCGGTGGCGGCGCGCTTTCGACTTTTTCGAGGAAAAGTTACGACCCCAAAAAAGAGGAACCAACCCCCCAAGCCTGGAGATGTCATGTCAAAGCATTCTGGAAGATGTTTCTAGATGACGATGTTTTTTTGGTCCAATCAAGCCTATACATATAGCGTCAATCATATAGTCCTCTAAATGATTCTAGATGATGAACATCGATGAACATCGATGTCACAGACGGACCAGCTTTCGAGCCATGGTCGGTTCATGGCACATCAGCCAGCACGGTGGCTCGAACTTTCGAGCTTTCGCATGCCGTCGTTTGCCTCAGGATTTGAACTAAAGGATGTTAAAGGGAACTTCTGTTAGTATTCATTATCCCTTCAAGCCGATTTCCATGTAGTTTTCGTCTATCAAATTGAGCAATTTTCCCAGCATATGTTGTTTGGTAGACCCCTACCATCTACCGTCCTAACGACCTTGTGGTGAACTCTCTCCATGACGGGCCAAGGCATCTCGATTGGCATTCGATGCGTCGACGGCTATGGACGCGTGCCGGGCGCCGTCGAACGGGTGGAGTGCCACTTGGCATGGGTGTTGTTACGATTCGTTGCCGTCGTTTCTTTCTTTGGTTTGAATGTTTTGAGACCTCCCAGTGTTTGGGAGATGGTTTTTATATCGTCGAACTGAATTTGCGGGTTGAACTGAAGAGTTGCCCTATAGTTCAATATAGATATCGATCATAATAGGATATAATAGGGGCATATACTTAGGGACATATCATGACATGTCATTTACAGAGTGCACACGGGTGTGGTACATAAGACACTCAGAGATCGAGTGGGCTTTGCGGCGCTTTTTGCTGTTAACGTTTTGTCTTGGTCCTTCTTCAACCAGAAAGCACGACCACCTCTGCCTCGGCGCTCTGTCTCGCACTTCCGAGGCAATGACGGACAATGGAGTTCGCTGTCGTTGTTTTGCGCCAAAGACTGTCGACCCTTCAACACGAGCAGCTTTGAGTTCTCCCGCTCCTTGGGCTCTCCGCGCAGCGTAGCGGCAGGACACCCTAAGACGATCGGTCAATGCGTGTGCGTGACAGATGACGTTTTTGTAGTGAGGGATCCAGGGAGGCGATCTGATGTTTGTGCAAAGATCTTTTCACTAAGTGCATTGAGATTCTACGAGCTGGGTTTTTTCCATGTTCTTCCTGAACTCCCCAGACCTCCCCAGACCCTGCCCGACCAACGACCCGCCGAGGCTTTCGGGTGATCATGGACATGTCGCGCTCGGGCGATCCGAGCAGCGAAGGGAGCTCGACGACGCCCGATTCCCCGCACGGACGGGAGAGTTCCCGAGAGGGCGGGCTGGAGGGAAATCCGGAGGGGCAAAAGAAGGGAAGGCTCTGGACTCTAGACTTCCAAACATATTGTTACCAGTATTGTATGTTAAACGTTTTTCTTTTTGTTTCTCCAGCAGTTGGGTGTTGCGGTCAACAGATTCTGATTCTTGATGAAACTGGTAAGGCGCCATGTCTTGAGTCTTGAGGCTTGAGCTTGGCAGTCCCAGCCAAGGCAATGCTTCACGATAGATAGGGTTCGTTACCTTGATGTGGGCTGGCCTCACATGCTAGCTCGCGTGCTGGTGCCGACAAGTTCACTGTAAAGTAATAGTAATAGTATGCGAGTTTGGCGTAGCATAGCTCCTCCAACAGTTGGGCAAGGCCGCAGGTTGATACAAAGACCAGTTGCAGATTCATTTGATATAGAAAAACCCGACCGGCTCGCGCCATTTCATGGACATTCAAAGGACCCTGTTGAGTATATAAAACAATTGCTCACCAGACCAACTTAGCGGCCCATGGGGCTCAATCGAGACCTTGTAGAACCTTCCCTGCGAGAGGAAGCAAAATCATTATTGGCTGCCGCTTGGCGATAATCAGTGCTCTTGTCGTCTCTTTTCTTGACTTCTGATGATTTTGCACTTGGTATATACCTCCCCGTATTTATTTAATCTTTGGCCACTTGGCAACCTTTCAGGATATTTTGCTTCTGCAAACATGTAAATCACGCCTTCCACTTCTGTTTTCCTTCCTCAGTGCTGGTTCCGGAGCATTCCTCTGAGAGAGGCAAGCTGGATGCAGGAAGCGACAAGGAGAAGAAACGTGGAGAAGCGACTTCGCTTGAATTGGTCTCCAAGCGAACCCGGTGGACACCGCGTTGTGAGTCACACTGTGACACCTGGTGGATCAAGAATAACGACCTGGAAGAGACCCACATGGAACCTGAAGAAACACTGGTTTTTGTGGTCTTCCAAAGGTGGATGCCATCAGGTTATCTTCCCGGGTGTAAGATCTGGAGGTCTCTCTTTCACTTCTCAGTCCAAGTGACTGGCCATTGTGGACCTACTTGATGCACATATAACCCCCTTTCGTCTCCAGAAGGGTTCTACATTCTGACATCTCCAGTCTCGGGGGGCTTGATGTTGATCTAGCTGGCCTAGGCTATAGAGCTTTTCCATGCTTTCCACTGGGCCATGTCAGCCGTTCTTGAACCTTTCGACTCAAATCCACGTCCCGGCTGACCATGTCCGTCACGCCGACCGCTTCACCAGGTGACCTGCGACAACGGCCGCTGGATCTTCTCGGAACTCCGCTGCTTCCGCGACTGCGCGGCCTACGTGCCAGGGCGCCAGTACTCCGTGGCTCGGGCGTTTCAAGCCGGGCGAAGGCGATGTGGCGAGACATGGACGACTCTTGATGAATCAACCTGCCATATATCGCCATATCCTATAGGTGGCAGGCGAGAAATGTATAGACATGTAGTTAAACCATGTTAAACCCGTCCCGGTCGCCATATCCTCTATATATGAGGCGAGAAATTATAGTTAAACCATGTTAAACCCGCCGATTTTTGAATTGGACATCCTCTTCTACCCCATTCGCTTGGAGATCCGCCTGAACGAGGCCCTGTGATACCACGAACGCCACTGTAAATTTGAAATCCTCTTCATATATGGGGGGTTTATTCTACACTAAGCAGGCTTAAGTGACATGGGCCAGGCTGTCAATACAAGTTGGACCAGTTCAGTTCCACTTCACTGTAGTCCGATTGGCGGAATGGCTTCCGAGGGGCCTGAGGGTGTCAACAGGGTTCTTGTCACACGGCTTTCGTTCTTGGTGCCATGCAGGCTTCGAGGTTTCCTGCGTCCGCCTGCGTCAAGGCCGTCCTGGTCACTGCCAGTTCTGAGTTGTGGGAATCAGACACCGGCAGGCGGTTTCCGTCCAACATCAATATTAAGACTTAAGAACCGAGCAACGCTGCAGTGACGCTGACGCTGCAGTGACTTGTGACTCCGGAAGTGCGAAAAGGGACCAATGCCATCCCCCGATTGCACTGGAAGGTTGCGCAGACTGGCCAACACGAACCCAACGGTCGCTCGAGCTTTAGACAGGCTAGACGTACGCGCCTTAAACTGCTTAGTGCGATCCCTGTCACGCCCTTCGCACCATGCCAGCGCGTTTGTCTCACACCCTTCGAGCCTGCTGGAGCACTCCTCGCCTTAATTGTCATGAATCCGACCGGACATGACCTGATGAACGGTAATGCAGATCACGCAGAATTGGAGACGAATCCGTGTCATCCGTCCGTTTGCCAACCAAAAACTATGCCCATGTGTGACCCAACACTAGAACTAGGCCGCCACAACCGTTGCGGCTGCAAGTCCAACTACAAGAGCCCTCTCGCATTGACAAGAAGAATTCTACGTGATGAACTGGGATGCAGATGGACCAAAATCGGTTTAAAGTGGAAGTGGCTGAACATTGTGCAATGCTGTGAGCTGGCAGACGAAAGCACACTTTTGCCGTACACTTGAGGTCGAACACATGCATTCTCATGCAAGGATCCAGCGAAATCAAAAGCAAGCACCAGGCCTTAAACAACTTGTGCAGATTAAGCTCAAGTTCGCATACCCGGTGAAGTGGAAACGAATGCATACGAAAGCCTAGGAAAGACCTACAAGACCTGAAAAGCCATGCATGTTTCTTGCTTTTTGAAAGTTCGATATAGGCAGGGTTCATTTGCAGGTGTCATCTCCAGAATTGCTTTTCGTTGTGTGAACATGGCTTGCTTCATGACATCAGTTCGATGATGCTTCAAATTAAAGCCTTGAATTGAGGCAAACATGTAATAATCTTCCCATGCAGTGACGAAACTTGATCCCCCCGGTTTGAGGTGACAGGGCTTGTAAGTTCGGTCACATATATACGGACTCCAGGTCGTTCGGTCACTGGGAAGGTCCTGGTGAATCTCTCATTTTCACTCAGTCTGAGTTCATTGTTCACGCGGGTGAGGCGTTAAAACCGGTCTTGAGTCTTGATGCGGTTTTTCCCATCTGAGGCTTTGATCCCCGGAGCCTTGGCCTCCCAACGGAATCGCAGCGTGCCACACGGAACGCAGCTCTTGGCCACGTGCGCGCAAGGCGATTTTTCGGACTCGGACTCGTTGTCTTCGTTTCGACTTGGAATGGACCGAATGAGGTGGATGCTGAGCAGCCACACGTGTTTGTTGAGAAGCAAATCGGTGGACTCCGTGGACTGTTGATGAAACTTAACGCCTCTCCTCAGCCAGCAGGATGGTCAAGGATCTTCGAGGTGAAAGGGCGGGTTTATGACAGTTTTTTTCATCGACCATCAGAGTTATGGGGGTTAGATGTCACAAGCACTCTTGGACGACACATGATACACATGGTTCGTTGCAGGCTTCTCTGCCTTACCGACAATAGGCCCGAACGGAGGCTGGGTGTGGCGGCTAGGGATGGCGATTGGGTGTGTCCCAGTAAACGAGTACTATCACATATAATTCATCCCTTGGATTTGTCCGAACTTACCTGTAACAGTCAGGAAACAAGTATCACCATCCACTGTTACAGGCAATAGGATCGACCCAAATTCTCACTCTGTTTTTGAGATGGAAAGGCACCCACTGCAACCTAACAATCACGCACTGGGCTCAACGATCAACGATGGAAAGGCCTGCGGCCCCCTCATCCACCAGACGGTCATGCGACCTACCCAAGACGGTGACCTTCGTTTTTTCATGTTTTTTTGCTGTAAATGACGGATCTCAGACGACTGAGCCGATGCTCACAGGGACCGGCGAAACCGGAGAGAGACGGTTTGTCTTCGGAGAAGCGCGTGAGAGTCTTTCACGGCGCTTCCATGGTCGAAGACGATTCGAGTACGCCCTGGGTCACAGACCCACATGGAAGATCATGGAAGCGGTTTGAACCACTGCTTGAGCATCCTCACGTCGCTCGTCACTCAGCTAGCAGCTAGTCTTCCTTGCAGGTGCATGCGATGCCCGGTTCCATGTGAATCTTCCCGTAATGAGACATCCACTCTGGCCAGCACCAGAGACCGGTGGATGTGAAAACGCGGATGCCATTTCCGACGTTTTCTACTCGATGGACGAGTCAAGGCATGTCAAGGCCATGGCATAACAGTCAGATTCAGTCAGACAGAATCAAACCATCGTTTTGGGGGGGTGAAAACATGTGACAACCATGGTTTCCTATCAGATTCTTCCTCGAAGCAAAGCAATGCATGAATATTGAATCCACAATCCCAAACGCTCGTGGAGGGGCCAGACCCAAATCCCTTGGAGGGGTCTGGGGGTTCTCACCAATCCCTGCATTTTGAGGGACGAGATGAAAAGGCTGTGAACACAGCGTCTGGGATGCTCACATGGATGGCCTCGTTTTCACCGGCCGACCCCAGACGCGCGAGTCTCAACGATGGTTCAGGCTCGTCGGGCTCGAGTCGCCGCATCACTCCAAGCGATTTGATCGCTGAGTCGGTGCCATGGATTTGCAGATGGCATTTCCGTTGGGTTTGTTGGTTTTGTTGTTTCTGAAGCAAACTCGCACTGATGTTGGTTACCTCCCGACTTCCCTGAGATATTGATGCTTTTCCGAATTGTTGGAATATTTTGCAAGACTGTCGTTCAGTGCACATATCTTCACATCTTTCTTCTCCACTTCTCTTGGCAGTCGCTCCAACTTGCCAAGGAGTGTGTGGATGGAACGTGGACAAACATCACCCTGTAACTTGGCAAGGGCAAGGTGGTATAAGGTGGTAGAACCCATCTAGCCGACGCATTTTAGCTTCTAGATGGATTTGGATTAGATTAGATTTTTGGAAGACTTTGGATTCTGAAGCCTGACTCCATTTTGGTAAAGCTTTTTCAAGACGTTCGGCATTGCTAGGCAATGCTTCGAAGATTGTCCATCATGGCCAATGCGCCAACACATGGTTCGAGACAGTGGTGGTGGCTTGCGAGTTGGTTCCTTGCTGCGCTTGGCCTGTGGCGAAAAGCCCGACATTTCCATCCGCTGTGGCATCCGAGGACAGCACATAGCAACATGATCAAACATGGGTTTCTTGTCTCTTTTTGGATGGTTTCTTTCTTGAGGTACTGCATTGTTGAATGTCCCACCACTTGTTCACTTCAGCATGCTTCAGCTGTATCACCTAAACTCCTGCTGTGCTCTCCAGGAATCTGGGAGCTATACACCGAAGGGAAAGTGGGGCCGAGGCTGACGGCTGAGACCCTTGGCGCCCGGTGGGACACCGACGTAGCGACAGGTCGACTGGCAAGCTGCCAACGAATATCCTTGAGCGACCTGGGCACCGGCGGGTGCCCTGCAGACCCTCATGTTGGATTGACCAAATGATCTTACATATATCCCGCTGAAAACTCACATGGACCATCATGGAATCATGGACCCAGAAAACCACTGGTTTGTAAAGGAACATCGTCTTTCAGGGTGCCAGGACGTCAGGGTCCATGTTAGTTTTCGGGAGTGAACTGAGAGATTGAAGGACCACCGCTCTAACTTTTGGGGTGTCATTTTGTTGTGACTAAGTCAAGTGAACATGCCCGCCGGAGGGTTGGATGGAGAACTCCCACTGACTCCTGCTTCACGTTCTGACCCATTTCCTTCCACTCTCAGGGCATTCTCCAAGATGTGCCCCAGCAGCTTTGCCAATACACGCGAAGCGGTGATGAACATGACCTTCTGGGCCAAGCTGTCGGATGACGAGCGAGCCATGTTCATGATCTTGGCCCTGGGATGCTTTGGATCGTTGTGTGGTTTGGCGTGCACCTACTTCCTCTCACCCTATGTGCCGGACGAGCCCGACGGCGAGGGCGAGGGGGAAGCCGATGCGGAGAGCGCGGAAGGAGAGGTCGAGGACCCCAGCCATCCGGGCTTGCGACGCTTCAATTTGCTCACGGGTGAAGTGGAGAGGTCGACATCCCGATCCACTAGAGGCATGGCGATGGCATGGGGGCCATGGATGGCCGTGGCACCTTGGGTAGACGGTGGATGATCTTTCAACCCTCCATATGAAGAGGTTGTTCAATCCATGTCTGGGGGTGTTTCATTACGCGTTTACATTAGGGATCATCAGGGCCTATAGTTCCACACTCCGGACCCCATCTGATGTTGAGTGGTGCATGGTGACCCCTTAGGCTCTTAGGTTTGAACTGGGACGATTCTCGCTTCTGGCTTTGGAACGCTGTCTTATCACTGTGGTGGAAGCAAGGTCTTGACCCCTTCAAATCAGAGGTCCCACTGTTCAATGTTCTACAGAAAGATGAAGGGAGAGTAGTAAGTAGTAGTCATTCCGGTCATTCACTTTAAGGAGCTAGTTCACTCTCTTTGGTTAAACTATGTTAAGCATGTTGAGCCAGAACGCCTCGCAGGCAGAGGGAAGCGCAGTTTGGCCAATGGTTTGGCTAGGATTGTGCGAACGAATGTGACTTGGTTTCGCAACAGATGATTCTCTGTTCATTTCAAGGCGAGCCTCGAAGGGATGGACGGCCCAAGATGCCCAAGGGATGGACCATTTCCTGCGATGAAAATCATCGTCCTCTTGGTTCTTCAGAGAACGTATACTGTCAGTGTGGTATTGAACAAAGTAACAAAGTGGTTAAGTGTCGGTAGTGTCGTGTGACAATCAATGGCCAGACTGACACCATAGGTCTGGCAGTATTGCACAATAGAAACACCATAAATGTTTCAATAAAACACAAGTTAATTGATTTTTTAAACCATAGGTCTGGCTATATTGCATTCACTACACGACAAGTGTTCAATTGTCATCGTCTTTTTCTCCGCGACAGCCGTGTCTCCAAGGCCAGCCGCCTGGCAGGTTACTTGCAGGATGCAAGTCCTCAACCGACCGGTTGTGCGAATTGCGACAAAGCGGCTACACATGTCTCTTGAAGCCAAGCAGATGGTCGAAAGCTGTCGAAAGCCTGACCCAGAAAGGACGCCCCGGATGCATTTTTTGTTTAATGCCAGGGGTGTCCCAGTGTACACCCACAAGTAAGGCAGTGCATTGACGTGCTTTTGCTTGGTGGGGTTCAAACTCAGAAAAAATCGAACTATTTGCCATGGCTCGAGATCATATTTTTCACCCTCAATGAAGCAAGACACAAGTATATAGTACTGAGTCTTGCAACTTGAACATGCTGTATGGACCGGGGACAGTAGAGTGGGTACCAGTGTTACGGGTCGGGGTCAGGAGGTCCTTCGTCTTTTTGATTGGCAGTGACTGGCAGCGGCCAGGTTTGCTTTCCCTGCAGTCACCTTTGCTTGTGTGTGACCTGTGCGGATGATCTCCTTCGGAGCACTGGACGAGCGTTCCAAGAGCTGGGGCCAGCGAGAGAGGTGCGAGAAGAGCGGATTGATTCACATCGAGGATCGCTTAGCATGGATGAACAGCCCTGTTGCCCCCTCTGTGGCCAGTTTGTTTTTTGCGTGATTGACGCAAAGCCAGCAACTTGGCGAACAGCGTGAGCCAGATGGTGGTATAATTGAGGGGCAATGCGGCCGCAACTATTTTATACAACATCCGCTCTTCTTACTCTTTGGCCCGGCCATTTATAATAACTTCTGCAACGCCCAGGGATGATTTGGAAGAACCTTGTTTGGTCACGTGCAACCCCCCATGAACATGTCTTCATGAGATCAAACAAATAATGGGCATCACTGCATCACTCAAAACAACTAGGCATCAAATGAACATTTAATAAGGTATTTAAAATCACAGGAATAGGCATTAAACAAAAATCGTCCTTTGGTCCCTTGCTCTAATCTTGTCTTGGTCCCCTGGTCCCTTGGTCCCTTTGATCTCTTGGTCCCTGTGGTCTCTTGGTCCCTTGGTCTTCTTGGTTCCTTGATGTCCTGGGGAGGGCCATTTATTTTAAGATATTGTTTCTTTGCGTCTGGCTTCTGTGGCTTTTGGCTTTCGTGGCTTTCGTGGCTTCTGGATTCTGTGTGGCTTTTGGCTTTTAAGGAAGGGATTCTTATCTATCTATCGATCTATCTATCGATCTATCTATCGATCTATCTATCGATCTATCCATCCCATCCCATCCCATCCCATCCCATCCCATCCCATCCCATCCCATCCATCCTTCCATCCCCATCCATCCCATCCATCCCATCAATCCTATCCATCCTATCCATCCTATCTATACTTATCTATCCTATCTATCCTATCTTTCTATCCTATCTATCTTATCTATTTTATCTATCTGTCCAGTGGTTTCCTCAACACGGCCAGGACCAGAATGCAAGAATATAAACACTACTACTACTGCTGCTGCTGCTGCTGCTAGTACTACTACTACTAGTAGTACTACTACCAGTACTACTACTACTACTACTCCTACTACTACTACTACTACTACTACTACTACTAGTACTACTACTAGTACTACTACTAGTACTACTACTAGTACTACTGCTACTACTACTCCTACTACTACTACTACTACTACTACCACTATCACTACCACTACCACTACCACTACCACTACCACTACCACTACCACTACTACTACTACTACTGCTACTACTACCACGACCACGACCACGACCACGACCACGACCACGACCACCACCACCACGACCACGACCACGACCACGACCACTACCACTACCAGTACCACTACCACTACTACTACTACTACTCCTCCTACTGCTCCTGCTCCTGCTCCTGCTTCTGCTTCTGCTACCACTACTACGACGACTACTACTACTACTACCACTACTACTACTACTACTACTCCTGCTGCTACTACTACTACTACTACGTCAACGACGACGACGACGACGACTACTACTACTACTACTACTACTCCTACTCCTGCTACTGCTACTGCTAGTGCTAGTGCTAGTGCTACTCCTACTCCTACTCCTACCACTACTACTACTACCACTACTTACTAATACCACTACCACTACCACTACGACTACTACTACTACTACTACTACTACTCTCCTGCTACTGCTACTGCTACTCCTACTACTACTCTCCAATACCACCACTGCTAGTGTTAAGAGTGCCATATTCTTTTGTGATCCTTATTGTTTTTCTTGTTGATCCCTTTGCACATTTTGTTTACATACTAATAGTTCATATATGTCCATATTAGTATTTGTTTTTTCTTTTTGACCTTCTTAAACGCGGTATTGTTTTTTGATTTTTTTGATCCCTCAACCTTAAGATCCAAGGCGAAAGTCTTTGACGTTCCTGGCCCTCTGGATATGGCCGTCACAGCGGCCTCTGCAGCTGCTCACTCCTTACGGCGGACAGCGGTGTCCGCAGCACAAGGAGAGGGGAGGGGTGGAGTGATGGCCACATTCCCTCGCAGAGGGTTGTGTTTCTTTGGACATGTCCGGAACAAGTGCACATGTGCACATGGTCATACATGGTCTTCGATCTCGTTGTACATGTCATACAAAGACTACAATAAGATTGCTGCCTGAATTGCAATCTCAAGACAACGCACCTTTAAAACAAAATCTGCCCAGGCGGCTTCGTTTAGATAACCTCACAAGGTCACAGAGCTTTGGTAGACCGACCATCCTAGATTTCAATCTCATTGAGAATTTGTGCAGTTTGCAGCGTTGAAACATACCTACAACATCCTACAGCATGACCTTGTAGTGTCTGAACTTTTTCAACATTGATTTCTATATAACATTCTCTAATTTTATTCCAATTCCCATGTGATCCTGCACAAACCGAAACCGAAACCGTCCACCATCCCGCACTTTTTCCTGGGTTTCCCACTGAAGAAGTCCGAACCATCGCGACGAACCGGCGCTAGGTGCCGCCTCAGTGGCATCGCGCCACGTGGGCGTCTCTCCCACCATGGTGGGGCGCTCGAGGGAGTCGGATTTCACCGTGTCGACGGGATCTTGAGGTGTTCGAGAGCCGCCCATCTCGGCTCTCGGAGTGGCCGAAGGTTGGTGGCTGCCCGAACAGAAACAAACATCAGGGCGTTTTCAGGAGTTTGGATTTTGAATCTGAGCTTTAATAAATGAAAGACCAGCTGACACGTGGCACTATGTTTAGCCATTGCTTTGGTGAAAGTTTAAACCAGGCGGCCACTCAGATTCAGCTCATATTGCCATGTGGAAATAGACATGCGCATTCTGAGTGCTTGTGTAGAATCAGCAATGTATTAAATTTTCAAAGAATTAGTTCTGTCAGGGTGCTAATGTGTTTGCTGTGTCGCCACCTAAAGGGTTGAGTGACAAAGCAAGTTTATGTCAGCCAGTCTGTTGACTTAATGAATCACACCATTCATCGCCTACATTTCCCGCAAAGAACAGTTGCGGGTTGATGGCTGGAACGATGAGACGATTCATTTGGGGTCCAGTTGCGTCGTTGGTCCTTTGCCTTGTTATGTTCGAGATAATAACTATACAAGTTGTTCTTCTATACCAGCTGCTTCCAAGGCCTTAAGGGGTCACCAATGGATATCTCCACACTACTAAGGGACCTCCATTGGGCACCCCTTGGAAGGTCCTGGTATAGGTATTTGTTTTTTCTGTGAAACACAAACATCATCGTTGATCCCAGAGACCCAGGACCACGACGAAAAAGGTGCCGCCTGCAGACCGTTTCTTTTTTTTCCAGCAGACCGGCTTCTTTGTGCAGCTTGGGGCAGTTGTCTGTAGGAAATGTGACTCCACTGGGCTTGGCTCAAAGCCTGACAGAGAGTCAAAGGATACCATAGGCCGCAATCATCAGAGAAAACACATTGATGCCAACGGTAAAGCATGGTAAAACGCTTATATAAATACTGCATTCAAGTGTCAGTGTCAAGTTGATGACCCACACACTGCAATTACCTAAGAATCTTCTCATGAGCTCAAGACGTTGCCCACCATGGGCCCCATGCCTCAATTCTAGAAGAAGCCAATTCCCACGCCCGCCATGCGGAGCGCAAAACACTGCGAAACACTACATTTCCCACGCAAAAGCTTGCGAAAGAGGGAAGGAACCCTTTCATCGGGAAAAAAGGACGTGTGTGTGTGTGTGTGTGTCAATTTCTGTTTGTGCTGAAATTGGGGAGCACACCTTACATATCCTTACACCTTCACGCAGATTACAGTGGTCTTTTAAAGTTCTTCTTTCCTTCGCTTCCAGCGCCGTCTCCAAAGCACCGTTCCGAGTGCAGTCCGCATGGCGTCGCTACGGAGCGCGCGTGGTCTCCGTGCGCTACGGAGACCTTTGAGACCGGTGCAGGACCGACGTTGGGACAGGATGAGTCTTGGAACGAGTGACGTGTCGCTTTTCCATATGTTTTTTCTTGCAGTGACGTGTAGCAGTTCCGAAAGCATGGATCGAACGCATGGACAATATGGACAATCATAGTCTAACAGAGCTGTCTAGAAGTGCCTGGACGACACTGGAACTGGTCAGTGCTTTGATTTGCGCTAGCGCACTCTCTCAACAATGTCGTCGACGACACTGGAACTGGTCCGATGGCAGGTCACCCTTCTGCAGACACATCTGCGGCCGACCGCATGTCTCGGTGCGAATCTAAGTGGAGTCAAAACTTGGTGATTGGTCGGATGAGGAAAAGTGCGGGTATCTGAACAAATCTGAAACACATTTTTTGATAATCCTTTTAATTGGGATGGGTTTCCCCCTTAAATGTGGCAGAAAAGGGTTGTGCCCAGACCTGTCAGTTTCACTGGTAGAACAGCCGGAGTTCGTTCGGTTCACCTTGACCCAGACACGCAAAACGCTGGGCAGATGTACAGGCATGATCTCCCAGGTCGGGGTCCGGTGCTCGGGGTTAGACTCCCAGGTCTCTCTTACGGGGCGAAGGGGCGAAGGGGTCTAAGACCTCGAGACTCTGAGAAGCAAGTAGGCCCTCCGAATGTGGGCTGAGAGATGGATGCTGAGAGTAGATGGATGCTGAGAGTCCCCAAGGGTGATGTAGGTGATTTAGATTGGACACCCGTCTTTTCCAGACATCTTGGGGGCACTGGGTGCCATCTACTCCTGAAAGCCATGTAATTCAGAGGCATCCCAGAAGGCTGGAAAGGGATCATCGGTGATCGAAGTTGCAAAGAATAATGATGCCTGTCGCCTGTCTGATGGATTCGTTGACGGCAGGCCTCGGGCATACTTATGGCAGTCTATCTATCTGACTCTATCAATCTGCCAGTGTGCAGCCATTGTCCAAAGGTTGGTTTTGGGTTTCAAGTTACCTAAACTAGTATATGAGTCATATGAGTAGATGACATGCTTTAATCTTGTATGCTGTCGATGAATCAATTGAGCATCATGGCCATGCTCTATGCGAGGCCTTCTGCAGCCCCACCATCGGGCCTTCTCAACGCCTGGTGGAGACTTCGAGAAACAACTCATGCCGGAGGAGTTGTTATCTCACGTGTATCCGGTTGCCGGGCAATGTTGGTTCAGAACGAACACATCCGTTTGACTCAGAAGAGCACCAACTCACAGGTGGACGCTTCGCAGACGTTTTTGTCCTGCCTTGCAGGACATCCTGCATCTCCGCGCGTTGTCCATGACAATCATGCAGGAGCATTTCCGTACCGATTTCGGCTGGCCACAGGGCCCAGCCTGGGCGTCTGGCAGGACACTGTCCATTTGAAGTTCAGATGATCCGCAGCACCGACCTGATTTGATCGTTCGTTCACGGAGTCGACGACCCATCGAGGTGCGGTGTGTGTTTTGGAAAATGGATCGAAAAAAGTAGATCAAAACGAGGCTTCAACGAGGTACGATTCATTATAAATTGGCCAGATCAAGTCATTAGTTTCACAGATGAGAGCCTGGAGATGCACTATAAGCTATTGTAGTTCATACAAGTTTCATCAATATTTTCCTATTCATATTATTGCTCATACTTTCTGGCGCAATTGGACACCGAAAGAGCACCAAGCCAACATCATCCCATCGCGATGTCAACAGAAGCCGGAAAACGCCTCTAAAAAGATCCCTCAAGAGCCTTCAAGGTGTATGAAGGGTGCAAGAGGTCAGCGAACTCGAAAATCCTCGCGGTCACCGTCATGAATTCGGCCGACCGTCGGCTCCTCTTTTGGTCGCTATATATACACGTACTCTCGAACCCCCCCGGCGATCTCGCAACGGACCCGCCTTCTTCAGGACCCCATTTGCGAACTCCGTCCTGAGGAGGCCTGATGAAGGGTGGGTGCGAAATAAAGGAGGGTGTTTTTGGAAAGATCGGTGTGGAGGAGCACTATGAGTGGGTTGTATGGTGATGGGCTAAATTGGAGGTTTTCGGGGTTTTCGGGTCGTCCATCCTCTTCTGTGGAAGATGAGTGTATAATATACATTGGGTCTGTCCTATCACCTGGAACAGTCAGTAAACAAGCAAATAACATCAAATAACTATTTTTGAACAAGGCCTGCAATCCAACCCACATCATCCACTGGGCCCAGGTATCTATATGCACAGCGTTCGACAGAGTCAAATCCATTCCAAATATTCTCAGCAAGGTTACCAGCACCTTCCAACAGGTCTCCTTTGGAGGGTTGTTAGGCCCTAACAGGTTTCAATTGATGACCCCTTGGAAGGTGCTTGTGTACAGTCTTGTTTTTTCCCATTCCAAATACTCCGAATCAAATCCGGTCGACCGGCTGGCCTTGCCGACATCGGCGCAAATCGGACTGCATCGGACCGACATCGGTTGGACGCACCGACCTCGCCGTCAGCATCGGCGTCCGAGACGCATCGGCGGCAGGTGCAGAGCTACTTGGCGGACCATGAGGATCCGATCGGTGACTTACCGCTGTGGAATCCACGTAGGACGAGATGCGTCGACGGGGGGTGCGGTGGGTGCGTAGGGCGTGCGTAGTGCTAGGAAGGTCAGTCAAAAGCAAGCAGAGCCAACAGATGGCTGTGCAAACGGCTCCGGCTAAGACTATTGAGTTGGAGGCATTGCACAAACACTAAGACGCTCGCCGAAGAAAGCATTGAAACCATTTGAAACCAAAATAATATGATATGTTTTGATCCTTCCCAATGTGTGCAGGATGCTACATCAAGTCTTGGATCCCTTCAGACTACGGAAGCTGACGGTGCCGTGCCTGAAATGCCTCAGAGAACTTGCCAAAAAATGATGGAATTGCCTTAACAGTAGTTCCAACAGTCTTTTTGCAGAGGAGGGTGATGGACCAGATACATGCAAGAGTCATCAAGAATCCAAGCTGACTGCGTCAGTTCACGTTGTTGGCTGAAGAACTCTCCTCCTGCAGTGCACTCCTTTCTGTCACCCTCCCCAAGCCTCTAAAGATGAATGAAACTATAGTATTTCATTTATTGTCATTTTCCATGCGAGGAATGAAGATGAATACACAATCCTCCAACTTATCATAGAAACGTAGCACATCACTTAGCCAGGTGGTAAGATATCACAAGCTGATCTTGGAGCGTTTGGACAATGAGCCGCTCCTGGAAGCCTTCGGAATCGACGCCGGCTTCAATATGCAGGCCGGTTCTCAAACGCGGTAAAGTGAGTGCCTTCCGTTTGTACCTCCAAGGCTTGGCAAGGCATGACATGACCAGCGACTTCCTAAATATAAAGTCCTCATTCGCTCCAGACTCCAGACTCCCGGAAGTGGATGTGAAGCAGGGCTTAGCCATGGACCCCATGGAGGCTTCTTAGAAGCACCCGGACCCCCTTAGCCAGGATTCGTTGTCGACACGGACATGGGCCGCAGATCGCGCACGCGGACAGAGCGTAACTCGAGGCCTATTTCATGATCCTCCATGCCTGGCTTTTGCACCAAAGACTGGTTCTGGAAGGCTCTAAGGCACCACGGGCGATCAGATCAGGGGCAGAATTGCAGAACTCAAGGATCGGATGAAAAGAGAATCGATGATCAACTGCAAGCCTGGACTTCTCCTTGAAGGGGGTGTCATGCTACCAAGAGAGCTCGAGCTCCTTTTGGACAACTGTCCACCTGTCAGACGAAAGTAGCACACGCTGAAAGACTTCCGTCGAATGCGATTGACTTTGACACGCGGCCGCAAGCGGCTGCGCGAGCTCATTTTCAAGAGGGCGTCCGACTCCAAGGCTTGCCTGACAGTTGCACAACAACCTTTTCGGCTCGAGACAATGAAAAAGGAAGCTTATAGGATATCATGATCTCAGAAATCACATGGTGTTAATGCCTGAAAAGCAAGTGTCCGAGATGCACAATCCGTGAATCTGCAGCACCCATCGCTGAAGGCAGGCCACACGACATCAAGTCGCAGCTAGTACAAGCATCGTCACCAGTCACCTTCCAGCCCCCCCTGGCAGAGTGGAAACGCAGTCAGATGGCTGTTCTCAGCCCCTTGGCAGAAGAATGCTGGGGAGAGATCCGGAGAGATGCATGCTTGTGATTGGTTCACTTCCAAGCCCTGGGCTCCAGAAAGTAGGCCCCAGTCAGGTCAGTCGAAGAACATGATCAACCTATTTGCGCTTCAGGAATATTCAGGAAGATTCAAACACAAATACAGCATCCTTTCACCATCCTTTCACCTAAGCATCAGGCTTAGCAGGCTTCAGCATCCTTTCACCTAAGCGGCCAGTCCGACATGTTGATCTGTGACCGGCGACAGGACGTCAACGGCACCGATCTTGCCGACCGGCCCAGGCACTGCAAGGCCCAGCCGACCAAGGCTGGAGTGAAAAATGGCTGGCTTGGGTTCGATGGCTGTCGTGAATGGACTTGTGACAAACCCCAGGGGCCTGAATTTTCATGCAACATCCACATTCAGACACATCATGAAGAATATCCTTTCATTCAGACACCATGTTTTCAATGGTGTTCACACCCCTCTCGCCGAGGCAAGTGACGGAAACAAAGACACGACTCACGTCCTGCGGCGTCGGCGGGCCTCCAGGATCTACGCCGACTTCCTCTTCACCGAGCTGAAGGTCACTGAGGCGGTGGAACGTGCGGGATTGCGGAGAGGTCGGATCGGTGGTAGCAGTTTGGATGGACAGTCATTGAATAACGTGGAACCTGGTTTGTACCTGTAGTAGATAAGGGCTGTGAGCGGCTCGAACGCGATTGCTTTTTGCCATGCCGTGCTGATCTTGATCTCCCTGGACCGGCGCTCCTGATCCCTTCCATCTCCCTCCTGAACGGCGGCCGCTGCTGGTTGCCTTGGCTGCGGTGGCGCTGCCTTCATTGCGACCTGGAAGTGCCCTGGTGCACCCTGGCTGGGAGGGGATCTTTGTGCGGTACACCTTCCGTTCTTCCTGATCCTGACATTGATTAGGGAGGCTTTGAATCCGCCGGTGCAATAGCATTTCCATTCAGTACATGTCCGCTCAGCTGGGTCCCAAATCCCAGCCCAGCTGGCACCAGAGCTTTGGGTTGAGGTGGACCTACCCTTGGACCTTCTTGCTTTTGATCATGTCCACCTTCGTGTTCAATCCACATGCTCCCAGCTGGCAGCCCGAGGGTTCCACCTTGGCCATCAAAGGTGGGGGAGTTCACAATGAAGAGATTCCCAATGGCTTCACCACAGGAACGAAGCTAGATGGCATAGACCCTATTCACTCACAGGCACAACATCGGACTCAATCCAATCCATCGTGCAGGAAACGAGCTTATCTCAAAGCCTTGAAAAGAGCTACGCTGCACGGAGTGACTTGGTACAAGGGCAAATACATGACGGCACAGCAACTTGGCATCCGGGCCCTTCATCTGAGCCCAACCAACCTGACAGTTGAGCCCCCACAACAACGGGCCCACCTTCCAGCGGAACACTGGTCTAGCAACCGTCAACCTTCATGCAGATTCCGCCAACATCGACTGTCCTTTCTTTCTTGGAATATTGGACAGCTGAGCATGCTCAAATGGGACATGTTTAGGCAGTTTACAGGGGAATGGGCCGACGCACAATTCTCCTACCTTCATTCAGGTGCCACTCTTCATCGTGGAGGACTCCTGACCATCATCCGGACGGGGTTCTGTGGCTCGGACAAGCTTGCATGGTCTACTCCCATGTCAAGTAGAATTCAACACGTCCGTCTATACATGAACAACTACAACCTTGACATTCTGAACCTGTACCAGTTCCCCTACAACCAGGCTGACCCTGAGTGTGGTCCTCTCCGCAAGCAGTTTTGGAATGAAATGGATAAGCAACTTAAGCTGCTCCCACGCCGGAACTGCTGGATCCTGGGAGGTGACCTCAACACCAGCTTGAAACACCAGGCACTATGTGTTGGTCTCAGCGATTTTGCTACCCCGGCTGGCCGCTGCAGAGGCTCGAGCCATCCGGATGCTTCCACCCTCCTACAGATGCTGAAGGATCACTCTTTGGTGGCCCTCAACACCTGGACACAAGAACTGACCGCTACCTACCACGGACCAAGAAACGCGGCCTCCAGAATTGACTACGTTCTGGTTCAACAGAGGGATGGAGATTCCAGAGCCAAACATGTCACCTACCTGCATGACCTCCCTTTGATGATGGGTCTTCATGATGATCATCAACCCCTTCTTTGCGGCATCCCATGGAGAAGATTCTTTCCATGCCAAACTCATCAAGGGTTGTCAAGGACACAACGTAAGACCCTTCAACATCATTGGGAACAGGACACACCAGACTGGAAGACCCTGGTGGGACACCTTCATGCACAGTTGGACAACCACACCTATGACTCTCCGGATCTCGAGGCACTGAACGAGGGGCTCCTTGACCTTTGCCGCAACTTCCGTCCTTCGCAACCAATGCCTCAGGATGGGTGGCAAACCAAGTGGCAATGGGCGCTGCAGCATGCCCCTGCACCGACCAGGAGCTCTACACCTCAATGCCTTCTACTGGAGGTCTTCAAAGGCTGGCAATGGGCTGTCCTTCAGGCTCAATGGCGCAGGCAAACGAGGAAACGGGCAATTCAACATCGACGAGACCGGGTCCAACACATCATTGACCAGGCTACTTGGTACTGGGCTGGGAATCAAACGCACTACTACTTCAAAACGGTCAACCACCTGACTCCCAAATCGTATTCCCAGAAACCACACCTTCGAGGTCCCCAGGGTCAGATGCTCTCACCTGCTGAAGAACTTCAACTTCTGGAATCATACATGAAAGACCTCTACCAGGCCCAACCGGCTCCTCTACCCTCATTCACAGTGACACAGCCACTTGTGACTGCCAACGACATTGCTCTGGAACTTAGACATCTTGAGGGTCGGAAGGCGGTCCCCAATCACATTGCACCGAGCTTCATTTGGAAGGAATTGGCTCTTCCCATCGGCGCCCTGCTGGAAGGTTGGTGCCAACAATGGTGGATGGTTGGACATCTTCCGGAAGAATGGCGCAGCGGTTGGATCGTGTTTCTGACCAAACCCAACAAGGTGCCTAGTCAACCCAGTGCACTCCGACCGATCGCTCTTCAAACTCCTATTGCCAAGAGCATTATGTCAATTTTTGTCAACAAAGCCCGGCTTCATGCTCTACCCACATTGTACACCTATCCTCAATTTGCCTACCTGCCTGGACGTGGTACTTGGGATGCAACATGTCGTGTCTTTGCCCATGTTCAGGCAGTGGAGCAGCTTCGTGATAGATGGCGCTACAATGCTAGCTATGATGCCCCACCATCTGCGGGGAGAAAACCTCACCTGTACGGTGGATGCCAGTTGTTCTTGGATCTCACTCAGGCCTTTGATCACATGCCCAGAGATTCCTTACAACAGGCTTTTGAGCTGTTGCACATTCCTTCTCCTGTTCGAGAAATCCTGTTGCAATGGCATCATGACACCAAGTACATTCTGACTTACAAGGGTCACTCCTGCACTGTGCCGACATACAAAGGCGTGAGACAAGGATGCCGTGGTGCCCCCTTTTTCTGGGCCTCATTTGTAGCACTGATCTTGCAAGAGGTCGAGAAAGTCACCTCACCTGAATGGATGCATTCCTCTTGCACCTTCTATGCGGATGATGGTCATCTCTGTTTTTGCTTCACCAGTCTGGACGAGTTTCAGAGAGGAATCAAATACATGGGGCATGTACTAGATGTGCTGACCACAGTTGGGATGACCGTCAACCTCACCAAATCCGCCTTGCTGCTCGAACTCCGAGGAACTCAGAAATCCAAGGTTCAAAAACAATATCTGCGCAGTCGTACTCATTATCAAGTGATGCAGATTGCTGGAGCCTATACCGTCTACGACATCCCTCTCAAAACTTCCCATGATTATTTGGGGGTGAAAATCAGTTATCAACAGACCCAGCTCCTGACCATGAAGCACCGCTTGGCCGCCTGTGCACATCGATTTCGTCAATTGTTGCCTTGGTTCAAGAAGGGGAACCACATCAGCATGGGTCAGAAATATGAATTGTGGTATACGTGCATTCTCCCCATATCCCTCTACGGGATTGATGCAACTGGAGTGACGGATTCAACCATGATTTCCTTCAACAAGCAACTGATGAAACAACTTCGTCAGATTGGTGGTGATCACTCCTTTTTGACCAACAATTCTCATCGTGCATTCCTGCGCACGCATGGACTTGAGCGCCCCATCGGTGCCCTTGCTCGTCGACTCCGATCTCAGATCACACGGTGGGAGGAGAGACGCCAGAACCTGTCACAGCATGACATATTGAGGAACATCCAAGTTCTGCATTTGCAACAAGCGCTAGAGCTCACTCAACTCTGGTTGCAGGACTTCATGGCCCAACCGGAGCAAGATGATCCACAACAGCTGGCGGAGGCCTGCATGGCATGCAAAACATGTGGCATGACGTTCAAACTCCCACATACTCTACATCGACACCTGATTCACGTCCATGGGATTGC